ACACCTTAATGATCTCTTTAGTAGAATATACCATTTCCCCGTTGGAGTTTTTTATTTTCTCTATATAGTTCCTATTTTTCTTTTTCCTCAAGGCTCTCATTAAATATTTTCCTGGTCTATCTCCCCATCTATACCTCTCACTTGCAACTTTATTAAAAACTCTTCTCTTCTCCTCCTCCATCAGTAGCTCTATTTTCTTCTTTTTTATGACCTTCTGTCTTATTTCTTCTGATCTTTTACTTTTATGTATCTGTTCCAGGTCAAATATTTCTTTTAGCAGCCCAGTAAGTTTTTCTCTTCTTTCCCTTTTCTTTTTTGCCCCGGACGCAATCAATATACCTCTTATATAGGCCTTATGGGACTCCCACACTGTAGCCACCGACACCTCCTCTGTCTCATTCTCTTGAAAAAATCTTTCAATCTCTTCTCTGATTTTCTGATCCACCTCCTGATCTAGGAGAAGAGCCTCGTTCAACTTCCAGCCTATCCCACCTGTCGTTCGTCTTCCCCACCTCACTTTCAGTGTAACAGGGGCATGGTCTGAAAGGGACATCGTCTCTATTTCTACTTTATCCACCATTTCTATAAGTTGATGATCTACCAATATATAGTTCAATCTGGAATACATCTTGTGTGCTTTGGAGAAGAAGGTATAGTCTCTCTCTTTTCCATGAGTCACTCTCCAAATATCCACCAGTTGACACTCATGTACCACCCCCTTCAGGTTTCTCAGAGCTCTACCTCCCTCTCGCTGCACAGAAGAGGTCGTATCTATTTGTGGGTCCATACATAAGTTCAAATCCCCTGCCACTAGCAAGCGTCCCTTCTTAAAGGCCATCAGTTTTCTCAAAACTCCCTTCAGATAAACTTCTGGTCTTTTATTTGGGCAATATATATTCACAATTGTACATTCCTGCTCTTGTAGTCTACTCTTCAAAAACAAAAATCTCCCCTCAGGATCTACCTCTCTTTCTTCTATCTCCAGCCTTATATTTTTGCAAACCCTATTGCTACTCCCTTGGCTCTCTTGATTGGGGAATCCGCATAAAACCATGTTGGGTAATTTCTAGAGTACAGCTTTATATTTGACTTCATCTCAAGATGCGTCTCCTGCAAAAATACCACCGAAGCCTCTCTATGCTGTAGCTCCTTGAATATTTTAAATCTCTTCCCAGGACAGTTCAATCCCTTTACGTTATATGTTATAAATCTTAGATCTTCCATATGTCTTATATCCCTAATTTTTTATTTTTCCCTTCCATCATGCAGAGTGTTAACCCTAAAACCCCTCCCAACCCCCTCTTCTTTCTAACCATGTCCCTCCTCCCCAACCCCTCTCCCCACCTCCACCTCCCCCCCCCCCCCCCCCCCCCTTTTTAGGCCTTTAATTTGCCTATCAATCATTTGTGGAGATAAATCCACCTTTGATTTAATCCTCAGGGCTTCACTCCTCCCAAGGACGGCCTCCCCTCTATCCATATCCCCCCGTGGCCCCCACTTTTCTACCAAGACAATTCAAAAATGAGGAAAAAAAAAAAAGGAAATAGGCCGGGCGGGTGAGGGAAGAAGAGGAGGACAAAAGAGATACAAACAACAAAAAAAAAAAAAAAAAAAAAAAACACAACTCTCTCCTCCCCCCCCCCCCCCCCCAATCCCTCCCCCCCACCAGCTGCCAGTCTTCTTGTCTTTCAAATCTAATTTCTCCCAGTTCTTCTTCCCAGCCGATAATTTCCGTTCTTTGCAATTTCAGTCTATCACAAAAAGTTCTCATATCCTCTGGGAACCTTAAATAAGCTGTAACTCCGTTCTTCCATCCTATTAAACACTCTGGTATCCCCCATCTATATTGAACATTCTGTTTTTTTTTTCATTTGTTCTAGCAAGGGTCTCAGAGCTCTCCTCCTCCACAAAGTCTCTGGTGATAAATCCGCATATATCTGGATATCTATTTCTCCATACTTAATTTCCGATTTGCCCTTAATTTTCCTCCAGATTTTTTCTTTTTCCTGTAGATCATAAAATTAAAGGTTCATTTTGTCACCAGTATATCTCTCGGCCTTTTCTTCCCAAGATGGGGTTTCCCTTTTCTAAAGGTTCCTTCTATTTTAGTCCTTTCCATATCAGAGTTTCCCATTATAGAGTTTAGTATTTTACAAGTCTCCTCATACAGAATTTCTCCTTTTTGGCTTTCTGGGACCCCTCATATCCTGATATTTCTCCTCCTTTCTCTGTTCTCTTGTATTTCTGCCTTGTACAGTAATTTTTCCTGAATTTTCCCCATATTATTTATCTTCTTTTTTTAATTCTGGATATAATCTGGGTCTGATTTTTAACTTTCTGCTCCGTTTCTTCCACTCTTACCAGCAGCTGTCCCAGATCATTCCGAATATTTACCATTTCTTGCTTTATTGTTTTCTCTAGTTCTTTGAACATTTCTGCCATCTCTTTTTTGTTTGGTATTTGTAAAATCTTTTTCTAACTCTATATTTTCTGATATTTGCTGATTACTAATGTCCAGGTCCAGTGACTGTCTGGGACTATTTTGCGGACTAGATACTATTTCTCCTTTTCCATTTCTACTCTGACGCCTTTCTGGGGTCACATTTCCCTGGGACGTATATTTTTTGATTGTGCCAGTTTGGGTCCCCTTAAGGCCACCCCCCTTTGTACTTTTATTTTTCATTTCTTCTGAGACTTTCACTTTCTTTTTTTTTTTTTTTTCTCTGGGAACTCGTCGTTAGAGAGAGACAGCCTTTTACATGCAAGTCCCAGTCCTGTCTATTCACATTTTCTTTTAGCCCTTTCTTTCCCCAATCTTCTTCTCAGACTTTCTCTTCTTCTGGAAGTCCCCCCTATTTCTCTCACGTTCTGCCTCCCCAACAACTCAATACAGGATTCATGCATACAGCCACAGCCGGTCTCACTCACCCCTTAACGTTTCTCTTCCTGTGAGATAGCATCGGGCTCTTTTCTTCAGTCCATACAATATATCAACCTTTCTTCTTTTCCTCCTCAGGGGGGCACCCCATGGTGACGCTGGAAGTTGTATTGTTGGGTGTGGCAGAGAAACGCTGGGAGTTGTAGTACAGGGGGGGTGTGAAGCACTGAGAGTTTGGAATGCTAGGGATTATGGTGCAGAGGGCTTTGACAGCATTATAAATTTATAGTGAAGGGGAGCTGGGCCCCTGTAAGTTATGATGACGCTGGGAGTTGTAGTGCTGGGGGGTGGCCAAGGAGTGCTGGGAGTTGTAGTGCAGGGGGGGGGGTGTAGAGCACTGAGAGTTTGAATTGTTGGGGGTTGTAGTGCGGAGGTCTATAGGAACGTTAGGCGAAGATAGTGAAAGGGGATTGAGGCCCCTGTAGATTACTATGGAGGAGTCTCCTGTCCAGAGGGCTAGAATCGCCTCTGCCCTCCCTCCCCCTTATCACACCGTATCTCTCCTCTCCGCAGCTCCCTCTCCTTTCTCCAAGCTAGTTGGGCGGCAGGCGGCTCAGTCTCTCTCCCACCGTCAGATGCCGGCCGGCTTCCTCGCCTCCCAGTAGTGCACTGCGGCCAGCCACACACTCGAGCCGCGCCCCCTCACTCCTCTGCACCCAGCCACGGCTTCCCTGCAGAGCTGCCTCCCGCTGGTCTCCAGCCTCCAAGTCCCCCTTCCCGCGGGCTCCCGCACGTCCTAGGGTGCCCACTGAGCAGGGGTGAGTATTATCTTACTTGATGTTCCTCCATACCGGTTGTATCTTGGGAGCCTGGAGGGGATCGGACAGAGGAGGTTGAGCCGAGAGTTCCTACCTCGGACTCTCCTCGGCCGCCATAGTTAGGCTCCGCCCCTCCGTGACTGCTTCTGTGATTGATAGATGTAGAGATCTGTGAACACCTAGTTTCATGTGGTCACATGATAAATTGCGCTGCAATCGTGGCAAACCACATTGTACAAAGAGTGTCACCCAAAAGAAGTTCAAAACTTCTTTTGGGTGACATGCTTTGCTTGATGTTGTTTTCTGCGATTGCAGCGTGACAATCATGGCAGACCCGCACCGTTTTTTTCAGGTGCCATTCATTTTAACACACGGTTCCATGATCTGTCATTTTAGCAGAGTGTTTTGAAATCATGGGCAGAATTGCAGTAATTCTGCCTGCGATTCAAAACCCCCATGTGTGAATGCAGCTTTAGAACCACTTTAAATATCTAAAGTATGGTCTTTTCCTTGCCAGAAACGTGTTGTGACAACATGATCGATCAGTAAAATACACACAGAAAGAAAAAGTTGTGGATGCCTACATGTCTAGCAAAGGAAATATTTACAAATGTTGTCAAATGATTTAAAATAAATTACTCCACTGCTGGGGGAAAAAACACTCTAAAAGCAGCATAGATTTCAAAACAAATGATAATTTTCCTTCAGCTGGCCCAGCAAATTCAGCCCAAGTGCTGACTGATCTAAGAACCCCAAAATTTTGCTGCGGGGTGTTTAGGTAACACGTGCAACAGCTGGGAGCAAAGTGAATGCATCTAAAATTACAAAGCGATTGCACCAATTTAACCTGCATGAGAGGTGTGTGAAGAACAAGCCTTTGTTCAAAAAGAAAATTTGTTTAACACCATAGTTTGCCATTGAACATATAGACAAACACAAGGTCTTCTGGAACAATGTGCAGAAGACTAATCAATCAAAGATATAGCTGTTGGGTTTGCAACTTAACATGTCTACTAATACAATAATGGTTGCTTTGCTGGTTCAGGGCCTGGCAGCTTGCATTTACTGAGCTTTGTAACTAAAATGGTTACCGAAAAGTGAATTACAGGGGAACAACTCGAACAATACTCAAATACAGATATGTGAACTGTTTTACTAGCCAAAGATATTTCAACACCAGTCTCTGCCAGGCAACAAATCCAACTGCTGGACCTCTGAGCAGACTATACTGCTACTGCACAACACAGCATGGTCGGTAGCTAGCCAATGTTTTACTACAAAAGAAAAAAAAATATTTTGTTTACCCGCAATGCCGTCCCATCACTTCCAGCACAAAAGTCCGTTGATGACTACAATGAGAAAAACATTTTTGCATTATCTAAAAATGTGAAGATGTTACAATTAACATCACTAACACGAATAGCAATGACATACAAAGGGGAGGCCATAATTGTTCCTTATATGTACAGGCTTTGCACTGCTAAACAGCATTTATGTTTTACTTTTCCTTCTCAGAGTAAAAGTGTATGAGTCATTGAAAAAAATTTAGGGCACGTTTGCTGATAACTTATTTTCACAGGTATTAATGGAAATGAAAAATAATTGCTCTTAGCCACATAGTATACACTAACCATAAATCTGAATGTGTAATCTCTATACAAATCACTGCAATCTGCCACAACTTTGTAGTAGAAGCCCTACAAAAGCAAATCTTTAGTCAAGTAGGCTCGCATACTACATAATTGTTATATCTAAAGATGATAATCCAATCAGATAACTGTGTTTCATCAAATTAAGTGATCCTTCTAGATTCTAATCTGAAAAATTCAATATTTTATAAATTAAAAAAAAGTAGCATAAGCAATTCAAATGTTAGTCATAAAAAATATACTTTGTTTTTAAAGGATAAGTTCACCTTTCGTAACATGTTACACCCATATTCAGGGTGTAACGTGTAACCTGTTACCAATAGAAATGCCCCCGTACCTCCCAATCCGCTTTGTGACAGCTAGCGGGGGGGGGGGGGGGGGGATCTTCTCCTCCCAGGTTCACATATACTAAAATATACACACAAATGTGAATAGTTTTTTTTTTATCTGAACGTTTTCATAAAGTAAAACCTGTGCTGTGAGAAAATTCACAGCCTTCAATTGCTGCGATCTCCTAATGAAAAAGATAGTTGCTTGGGTATAATGCTGATTCAGTGGTTACAGTACTCTTGAGTCAGTGACCTGGAACAGGTATACAGATCAAAAAGTTCACTTGGTTAGTCAATGCCTCAGGAAAAAAAAAAAAAAAAAAGTAAAAAAGAACTGAAGCTGCTGGATAATAAGCCAGAATCTAGCATTTTCAAGGTCAGCAATTACAGCCTACAAGTTACCCTCATCTCCCCTCCACACAGGTTTCTGTTGAGCAATAAGTCACAGGTCATTACAATTTAAAATCACGTGATTTGTGTGCAATTTCAGCACGATTTATGAAGACTTTATTGCTACTTGTGAAAATTTTCCTCAATTTCTTGCAATTTGCAGAGCAATTTACAATTATATTCCATGTATGTGAAATCGCAACAAAACTGCGGAAGAAGTAATCCAAGAACTACTTTAGAAATCGTGCTGCAGCAATTCACAAATATTAAGACACTGACATTCACATTCATTAGATGCGATTTCAGGTGCGATTTCAATTCCCAAATTGCACCAGTATGACCGGGCACTTATTGTACAAGTTACTGAAAAGTGAAATGTTTGATTAAAGTAAGCCTGTCAGCACAGGGTCCTGTGAATGTTAAAATAACCAAAAAAAAAAAAAAAAAAAAAGTTACCTGCAAAAAAGAAGACTGCCATTTATGATGGTCAGCTGTTGAAAGATAAATATATGCAGTCTTCTTTTTGCAGGTAGGACAGAGTCTCTTTAATATCAAATTTAATTTCAAGATTTCAAAACATCGAAACTAACATGAATTATGACATGACAACTGCACAACTTGGTAGCCTTAAACATGCAAAATAGAGTTGTAGGCTTCTAAATGAGTAATTTCCTGGTGGTATATTTCCTACGTTACCTCTACAGTAAAAACTATGACCATTTTGTCTATGAACAAATGAAAATGAATCAAAACTGCTTTGCTCACCTTTGAGCAGTAGTTGTGATTGCATCAATTACTTCCATTATTCTGTGCAATGCTGAATCTGTCCCAATTGTCATATCTGTACCACAGAAGTCATTGTCAATTGACCCGACAAGACCAACAATATTCAAATGAGTATACTTAGCAGCAACAGCTTCAGTTACTTTTTCTGAAAGAAAGAGAAAAATTAAGAGTTATGTTTACATAGTAGTCACAGTTCATACAATGTCAAAATTCCAGTAAAATCTAGCACAAACTTTGCTGTACTCGTGTGGGGACTGAGATGCCCTTTTTCCTTATTCATTTATCTATTGGGCCAAATATTGCATTACCTGATTTAGAGTCATCCCATATTTCTTTATTATATGGCATACATTACACAATGATTTTTATAAGTGCTATGTATCTGAACATACAAACTTGGTGGAATAGGAGGGGCTAAAAAAAACAAGCCAAATGTATTACTTAACCAAGCACTTTCCAAGTCTCCTTCAGGACTATATAGAGTTAACAAAGACACAGGGAAATGTGTTAGAAAACATCTGTCTAGTTAAGCCAATTGTTCTTTTTCCTATGGAAAAAAGGAACAATTGAACAATTATCAGTTATATGTGCCCCCAACGATCTTCGGTGGAACTGCAAAGATGATTGCAGCAGATTTGGAAACAGAGCTTTCACGATGGACAGATTTCATTCTCAGCAAGACATATTCCGGCCTATGACTAGTTTTAAACTGCATATACTCAATAAAATGACCATGAAAAGAGGTGGTATTGGAGGGTGCTGTTAAGCAGCCACCAAAGATGGCCACACATTAGACTGGCTCTTCACTGCCCGGGTGTACAACATCACCTAAACACCTTTCAGTGATGCGGCTAACACCCTGCACCCCATCCTTGGCTCTCCTGGAATCCTGCAGTCCTGCCTGGAGCGTCTTACTGGCGCAGATCGCAGGGTCTCAGGCCCCTGTCACCAGAGGTACCGCTCCACGAACGGGGGAAAATGGTAGCTGCCACCACCTTGCGGTCTGAGTGACTACCCCCGGCCTGCAGCCTCATTGCAGGCCAGCACATCCGCCCAGCCTAACTCCGCTTCTCGCCCACTCTACGGCTTTCACCCAACCCTTGCAGCCTGTCTGACATGGCAGAACTGGGCCTCCGCCTCCTCTCCTCCACGCCAGCTATCGGCTCTTTGGGCCCCTGCAGCCACACAGGCCTAGCAAGAGACTGACACAGCTGGTGGGCGGACTGTACCCTAAAGGAGGGATGCACAGACACCTCCAACGTGGCCTAGGTACCGCTGAAGCCCACTGCCCTCCTGATCCAGGCCTTCTGCAGTTGGGAAGGGATGGACGCCCCCACCACGGCACCTCCACTCCACAGGCCGGCGGTGTCCAGATCCTTCCACCTGTTGCCCACTGCTCTCCCGATACTACCCGAGCCTGTTCTTGCCTACTCCTATACCTTGGTCCTTGGCTGCTGTCTGCTTCCTGTGAGCCTTGGAGGGTTTAACTCCCTGCATGCTACAGGATACTTGTGCCACCTGACTCGCTGGGGGAACTACAGTGCCCTGTCCACCCAATTAGACCAAGGCCCTGACTGTGCTCTGCTGGACTCCATCACTAGACTTATTTTCAGCGCTTTTCCTAATATCATATGATCTTGCTGCCTCTGGCACTGTATTGCAGGCATTGACACTCCTTGGAGCTATCCTTCTTAGCGACCACTACTGCCTCTGGACGGTTCCTCCTCCAGGCACCCCTGACTCCGCTGGGACCATTGGGAAATATTCAACTTCTACTCTGGCCAAACCAACGGAATCAACGGCGGGCTCCTCTAAAGACCTCAGCTACTTCTGTTTCCCATATAAAATGGACTCTCAGCAACTTTCACCTGAACATCCAATCTCGTCACAAGAGCTTGTATCCCAACTGGACAACTCCTCCAACGACAGTCTTTCTGCCACACAAATTGCAGATCCCAATGTGGGGACAGTTCGAAATTCAGTTCTTCTTGAAAAGTTTAAACTTCTTCAACAGGAATTGATTACTGCAACGGAACAACTCACTACTAAGATCACCCATGAAATAAGGGACATAGGATCTCATATCGATGATCTTGAACACAAAATGGACGATGCTATCCTGGTGATTGATAACCACGAACAAGATATTGACAATATCAAACTGAATCTTGCTTCCACCCTCCACAAACTTGAGGACAGCAGCAAAAGAGGTAACTTCAGGATCAGGGGTCGCCTCGAATTCATAGAGGACTTAAACTCCGCCTTATAACAGAAGCTCATTCCAGGAACTCCAATTTCAAAGAGTGGAATTCCACAGAATCCACAGGGCCCTGAGCCCGAAAAGGCCTGAAGGTCCCCCCCCCCCGTAACATTATAGTCAAACCTACTTTTTATAAAACCAAGGAGGCTGTCATGCAAGTAGCCTGGTCTAAGAGGAACCTGACTTTTCTCACAAATACCTTTGTGAGACCTTCTTTATCTCACAAATACCAAATATTTTCAGATCTGGCTCCGCAAACACTCCTGCAAGGAATTGAAGCCTTTTGCCCAATCATTCCAAAACCCACTGCATTAAATATCGCTGGAACTTTCCATTCAAACTAATTTTGTCCTTTCAAAGCCATCCTTACCACTTTCACCGTGCCAAAAGAAGCTAAAGAAGTCCTTACCAAACTGCAGCTCATGCTCCCAACGTATACTGGCTCAAAAGCCTCTCAATATTCTTCTTGCAAATTTCCTTGCCTTACTCCTCTTTGGGAACCTCTTCCTCGAAAATAACGTCCTGCACTTGCAAACCTAGATCAACTTCTAGACCTGAAGTCCCATATGAAGACTGAATCTCCACCATCCTTCCATTGTTTTTCTGCCTTCTTATTTTATGGGCTGGACCACTATTTTTGGACCTCATGCACCAATTGTGCTCCAGGACAGTCCCATAGATTTTAACATACTAGCTTCTACGCAAGTTCATGACTATGGTCTTGGGTTCTCATTTATCAATATACAGGTTGTGTTTTTCTTTACTTCTAGGAGCTCGCTGCCACCTTCAGGGTCCCCCTAGTGTTTTACAATCTTGTTTGCTCCACTCCATAAGAGCTGTGCCGTAAGACCTTACTATTCAACCAACCTACGACTTTAACCACTAGGTTACTCTAGATTTTGGGTGCTAGACCCAGTTAACCATTTCACCTTTTGGCCCCATTTGGATGGACAGCGACCTCCCACTTCTCTCCACTGGTACTATCTGTATCTGCTCCCGTGTCCGCGCATGAACGTGTTTTGATATCCACTTGCTTCTCCCCCCCTCTTCTCTTATCAAGGTCAGCAATAGTTTTGCTACTTTTATCTAACAAGTTTTATGGTTATATACTCCAACGTGCACCTGGCTGGTCCCCATCATGGCAGTGCATATGATCACCGCCGTTGATTGCTTAGGCAATTTCTTCTGACATCAGTGCGGTTGAGCCTACTTTTCCTTTTCTTACTGTATTCTCCCTTTCAATCTTCCTTTTTTTCTTGATTTTCCCGCACGCTGAAATGCCTGAGTCTACCATATTTGACAGGGCTGGACCTCTATTGCGTCCTTTAGCTATTTTACCTTCTACCCACTATGATGGCTACCTCCAAATTTGTCGTGGTGTCCTATAATGTACAGGGTTAAAACTCTCTGGAAATTGCCTTCAATTATTATGCCTCATATTGAGCCCATGTTATCGGACTGCAAGAAACCAGATTTTTCACTTCCTCCTTTCCCAAGTATTTCCACAAAAAACTACTCCCAGGTGTTCCAGGTGACCTTTGAAGAAAAACGGAAGGTGTCTTTGTGGCATTTCATAAAAGCTCTCCCTTCATATGTTCCCTTGAAATCGCGGACCCTGCAGGTCAGTATCCAATACTCCAGGGGACAATCTTAGATGTTGAAATTACCATAGTTAACTATTATGCCCCCAATGCTCACCAGTCCAGATTTTTCTCTCACTGCATGTAATTTCTTTGCACAGGAAGGGCACCCTGATCATGATGGGGGACAGTAGAATGGCATTGAATAGACAGGTCCTCCTCTGCTGGTTCCTCCCAGGTCTCTACGAGGTTAACTCACAAACAAAGCAATTCTCAGACCACTTGTCCAAACATGCTTTGATGGATTCCTGGAGGGAGTTTAACTCTAGAGTGTGGGATTATATTTACTATTTAGCACCTCATAATTGCGATACATGAATAGCTCACTTTTTCATTCCTCAAACTTTCATCCTGGATATCCTTAACGTCAACATCCTGTCTAGATCCTGGTCTGATCACTCGCCACTCTTACTCACCTGTAAATCGCTGGCTTCAGCCCCTCAACACTATTTCGGGCATCTTAACGACTCCCTGCTAGCTCTTGATGAGACGGTTGGAGCCATCCAGGACTCTAACTGAACCTACTTCGCTGACCATACTGAATCGGCTTCATTCCCCACGATTTTGTAGGAATCTCACAAAGCCACACTTAGAGGGAAACTCATACAACTTGCATCCCGCAAGAAGAAAGAGGGACTCCCATATAGCAACCTTGTCCTCCCGTCTTGCACAGTTGGAAGCCTAATTTAAGGCATTCCGCTCTGTCTCTCCGAGCAAACAATTGGAGGCCACCAGGATGGAACTAAACCTTCTTCTTGACGACAAAGCAGAAAAACAGCTTAGATGGTCCTGACAAATAGTATGCCTGCGCCAATAAGCCAGGCCCGATGCTGGCCAACCTTCTCAAAGCCCAAACCAGAGATACCAAACCAATCAGTTTATGCTTACCCAACAAAGTCATCACAGCCAACCCCTCCAAAATCATGGGGGCTGCGTTATATATCAGCCCCCACAACCTTTTCACAAGGACTTGGTGGATGCCCTTTTCTGTGACATCCATCTCCCCAGCCTATCCCACGCTATGTCAGATGAAAATACATCAGTCATCAACGACAACCGAAATAGTTATGATCCCGAAAAATGGGAAGGATCCCCATAACTTTTGATCCATTTCCCTGTTAAATGTTGACATTGTGTTAACATTATCTTTTGGATAAATGGGGATTCCCGCCTCCCTTCACAACCTGGCTGAGGGCTCTATATCATGGACCCTCTGCTACGGTTCATTACCTCTCTTGACAATCCTCCCTTTTCCCAATCCACCAGGGAACATGCCAGGGGTGTCTTCCTTCCCCTATACTCTTCATTCTGGCCTTAGAGACCCTATTACATCTCATTAGATCTAACCCGTATATCAAAAGGGGTTATGGTTGCCCAACAGTCTTTCAAAGTTAACGCATTTGCAGATGACTTACTTTTGACCTTGACACAACCACATACTACACTGCCTATCTTTTTTCTATCCTTACACGCTTCTCCAAAATCTCCGGCTTAGTAGTAAACAAGGACAACTCATCGGCCCTTAATGTCTCTCTCCCTGAGGCGGAGATCACCTTATTAAAACAAAACTATAACTTCATCTGGCCCGTTTCCCACTTAGAATATCTCAGGATCCCCCTTACCAAAATCCTACCACAACCTCTACGAGGCCAATTACCTCTACGAGGCAGAGATTGGGAGCCAGGTCTTCTCGTCTGACATCTGTGCCTAACCTCACAAATGCGCTTCTGGAAGAATGGTCAAACATTACTACAGACACACTCCTAAACCTTGTAGACAGCCTTCCCAGAAGAGTTGAAGCTGTTATAGCTGCATAGGGTGGGCCAACTCAATATAGAACTCTACGGACTAAGACTGGGATGCCATTAAAGTTCATGTGCGTGTAAAGGCAGGAGTCCCAGTACTTTTGGCAATATAGTGTATGTACTCTTGGCGGCTAAACAATCCATAGCGAAAGCTTGGAAACAACAGTTCATATGTTGTATGAATGCCCATCGCCAACTAGATTTATTGCTTGTTAATGAAAAGCTCTCTAGCATTCTTTCAGATACCCACGAGAGATTCCTTAATACATGGACTCCATGGATTCAACACGCCCATCCTGATATACCAATAGGCAATTTACTTTGTGCGTTCCAAATGTTACTACTCTTCTTGCTATTGCCCGATATCAAGGAATAGGTGTATGTACCCTCATCCATTCCTTACACCAATTTATCGAAACAATATGGTTGATGTATCTTTTGACATATTTATTTTGTCACCAATTACAGGTATGTTTTTCCAGTGCATGACTGCTTTTGATCTGTTAACTCTTGTTATATATCTTTGCTTGTACATGATAGCGGTTTTCTAAATCAAAATGTTTTCAATAAAAATGTATTGAAAGGAAAAGGTGGTATTTACTTCAAATAATTTTTAATGAAGACTTAAAGAAGAACTGCACTGCATCTGAGCACCACAAACCAAAAATGTGATTTATTTCACAGCTGATTCACACGTGTGGTGCAGATTGAAGGTCAGGTTTCACTGCTAATTGACTCAGTAGATGTTCAGTGGTTCATATCAGGTTCACATCAGGTCCAGGACAGGATCAGGTCAGGATTTTACCCTGTGCACACATGTGCGGTTTAGAAACGGTTCACATAGAAGTCAATAGCCTGTAATCCGCACCTGAAGTGGTCCGCACTGCTCAGAAATCGTACAGGACTCTTTTTCAAACCGCACTGCCAGTGCACCAGACATATGTGAACAGGCATTATAGGAAGCAATGTTATTTCATGTGCCATGCGGATTGGATGCGGTTCAAACCGCATCCAATCCGCATATCTGTGAACTGGCACTCATCGTTTATAATCACAATAAACTCACCCATCCATCTATATGTCCATGCTTTATTTTGCTGAGAAATTGCTTTGAAAAACACCCCCTAGCATTTCTGGCAGTGGCCATCTCGAGTAAGGGCAGATGATTCATGTAGCATTAACTTCCTGGAATCCATCTGCCCTTAGCTCAGGCATTGGCTGAGCTGAGAACCCTCCCTTCTCTCCTGAAGACTGCTGGGATATATGTCATCATTTGCTTAGGAATGGAAACCAGGAAGTAACTGAAGAAATGAAAAGTTTAAAATAAGTAAAAATTATATACTATACATAATATATATATATATATATATATATATATATATATATATATATATATACATATACATACATACATACACTAAACTATATATACTTTCCTATCCATTTACTGATGCTAGCAGCATAAGGATTAAAAATAGTCCATGTTGACTGAGAGAGTGGTGTTCCGCTTTAAGAAAACATTAACATGGGAGTTACAAATATGAGAGGGTTCTATATCGCTAAAAATCTATTTAGTTGTGATCTCCTGAACATCACTCCATCCTCTTAAAGTGTATGTCTGGGCAAAATAAAAAAAGATTCAATACATCTCTGCAAAATACATTCACATTTTAAAAACACATTTCATCCTTTTTGATGCAAGTATAAAAAATACCCATTTCTCTTGCCCGAAATCCAGTGTGTGCTCCAAGCTTTCCGTTTGAACTCGCAACTCTATCTGCTGCTTTGGAATCTCAATCAACGTTATCAGCCCTACCAGAGTTCTCCCCTGCTGGACTACAGAAGACACCTTAAATTGTAAAGAAGGGAGTATTCTGTAGTCCATCAGAGCATATGAGGGCTGACAACACAGCTTAGCCCTGCAAAGGCACTGTATTGTCAGTTCAAACATCAAGTGCTGGATTTTGGGCAACTCAATAAATAAAATACTGCACTTTTGAGTCTTTAAAGAATAAAACAAGGAGAAATGTGCATATATTTCAGATGTACTGAATAAATTCAGCTCACGGCATGTACAGAAGCAAGTTGCTACCAAAGAAGAAAGGGTAAAGTTGAAATAAAGACTAGCCTGAAAAATGTTTCCCTATATGGGGTTGACGGAAAGCTCCTACAACAAAACAGTAATAAAAGCAGGGTTTCTCCACTGGTATGCTAGGCCATGTGGCTTGTTCTACAAATGACTGTATAATGCTATATGTTAGGAACTTTTAAAGTTCCATTGATGTGCGCCCTGACTTGAATAGTGCTGAAACCACTTTGCCAAATATATGCTTTAACCACTTGCCTACAGTGCACTCATACCCCTTTCCTGCCCAGGCCAGTTTTCAGCTTCCGGTGCTGTCACACTTTGAATGACAATTGCGCGGTCATGAAACACCGTTCCCATATAACATTTTTATCATTTTTTTGAGACAGATAGAGCTTTCTTTTGGTGGTATTTAACCACCTCTGGGTTTTTTATTTTTTGCTAAAAAAAAACAAAAACCACTGAAAACTGAAAAAAACAAGTTTTTTCTTAGTTTTTGTTATAAAATTTTGTAAATAAGTGATTTTTCTCCTTCACTGATGTGCGCTAATGAGGCTGCAGTGATGGGCAGTGACAGGCTGCACTGATGGGCACTGATAGGCGGCACTGATGAGGAGGCACTAGTAGGTGGCACTGATGGGCAGTGACTGGTATCACTGATGGGCACTGAAAGGCAGCACTCATATATGGCACTGATAGGCAGCACAGCTAGGCGGCAATGACTGGCACAGATAGGTGGCACTGACTGGCATTGATAGGCAGCACTGATAGGTGGCACTGAAAGGCAGCTCAGATGGGCACTGATATGTGGCATTGATGTGCACTTGTAGGCACTGATATGTGGCATTGATGAGGCACTGGCAGGTGGCATTGATGGGCACTGACAGACTGAGAGGTGGTTAAAAAAAAAACATGTTGTGGCATCACCACAATTGTTCTTCCTGTTAAACAGCTAAAAGGCAAACCTTGTTCTTGTCACATGTCAATTTAAAAATACAGTATAAAATACATACACATATACTGGTTAACATGTTGCATGCATTTTTACCATGCTGTACCTTTTTTAACAAGCTCCTCAAGCAGACTGCTCCACTCCTTTCGAAAAATATTTGCCCCTGTTAAACTGCCGTCACCACCAATGACACACAAGTTTGTTATGCCATGCTGCACAAGGTTATGGGCTGCAGCCAGACGGCCTTCGTGAGTGGTAAATGCTTTGCATCTGGCACTTCCAATGATGGTTCCTCCCTGTTAAAAAAAAAAAAAAAAAAAAAAAAAAAATATATCACTCTCTCAGTTTTGTAAACCATTATGATCAATCATATACAAACCTATACGTATTTTGTCTGTGGATTTAGCAGTGTGCCCAGAGCATGCACACTGCTACATACCCAGAAAAAAAAATACATATAGGGGACCTTTTTTACCTGCCAAAAGTGTTTGTAGGTTTAAAGGTCCTGAGAATTACACAGTAGAGTCATGAATGAGACCACTTTCACTTTTAACCACTTGCCCTCCTGAGGATTTGCCCCCCTTCCTGACCAGGCCATCTCTTGCGTTACAGCGATGCATTACGTTAACTAACAATTGTGCGGTCATGCAATGCTGCACCCAAATGAAATGTACATCCTTTTTTTCCCCCCACAAATTGAGCTTTCTTCTGGTGGTATTTGATCACCTGTGCGTGTTTTATTTTTTGCGCTATAAAAAACAAAAAATAGACCGACAATTTTGATGGAATAAAAAAATATATATATATATATATATATATATATATATATATATATATATATAAATAATATTTGACTTTTTGCCATTAAACATGTCCAGTTAAAAAAAAAAAAAAAAAAAAAAAAATCAAATTTAGTCATAAATTTAGGCCAAAATGTATTCTGCAACATGTTTTTGCTAAAAAAAATCCCAATACATGTAAATTAATTTGTTTACATGAATGGCATAGTGTCTACAAATGGCGTTATAGATACTGGAATGTTTTGGGTTTTTTTGTTTTTTTTAACAGTAATGGCGGCGATCAGCAAATTATAGCAGGACTGCAGCAGGCATTCTGAGACTGGGGGGAACTGACCTGGTGTCACTGACATCCCCAGTGACACCAATAAAGTGATCAGTGCTAAAAAAAAAAAAAAAAAAACACTGACACTGCACTAATGGCATTGGGCAGTAAGGGGTTAACATGAGGGGTGATCAAAGGGTTAACTGTGTGCTTCGAGTGTTTTGCTGGGGGGTGTTGGTGCTTCACTGCAAGCACACTGCTCTGGATGGCTGGGCGTAAGTATGTATCTCAGCCTCCAGATTGTTCTATAAAAAAAAAAAAACCTCCATTACTTCTTGGACATCCCTTAGGTTGGGAAAGCCGTTAAGACACAGGAAGGATTTGGCTAGCTGACCTATTAACTCACACCCTGAACCTGCTCTCCCCCCCCTCCAGGAGATGGCTCCCACCCTCCACTGTGCATACATACAATCAATGTCAAGGAAAAAACAAACATTCTCACTGAATACACAACTTTAGATCTACCATCAATTATGTAGTTCAAGGACTTGTCTGATTGGATACAGAGTGATTTGATAGATGGCGTGTCGTCCTATTATATAGTTTTGGTAAATGTAAAAGGCACAATCAAATTGTATAGTGTATGGCCACCTTTATACACCCAAAATTAACTATTTGCACTTTCAAAGCCATTCATTTTTTATAGCACCTCAAACGCTAAAGAAAACTCACAATTTGGCAGGTGAAAAAAAAAAGAGTGACCAATGCAGCAAAACGCACAGTAAAAAAACATGCAAACCACAACATGCCAAAATGTCCCATGAGCTACTTTGCCATGTGTAGGGAAGCCCACTGAAATCCATGGGTTGTCCTATGCATGTCACGTGAAAAAACGAGCCGGAAACATGCGCTCCCACTATGCTAGGTGTGAATGGGGCCTAAAAAGTGAAATTGGTGTGTTTACACCAGAACAATAAGGCTCCATTCACATCTGTGAATGGGCTACGCTATGCGTGATGAGCAAAAATACTTCAAAGCTCCAAAAAAAAAAAAAAAAAAAAAAAAATGTATGTGGGAAGGTGAGTTCCCGCTACACAGGGATGTGAATAGGGCATGACAGCTGAGTGTTTCCGTCCACTCCCTCCTAAGGATTTTAAGGGTGATCCCATTCCAAAAAATAAATAATGCACGCGGTCCCCCTCCCCCCAAATCCATATCAGACTCTTATCTGAGCAAACAGCCCCACCCCTTCTGATTCACAGTAGGCCACACACCTGTATAAAGCAGATGGCAAGACGGCTGCCGGCACCGCCGTCGCCATCAAAAATGTCCCCCAATGTAATTCGATTACAAGTACCTGACAGGTTGTACAAGTAGGCGTGGCATCATTACTGTGCTGCATAGCTGTGCAGGAGACCCAACAGGTCCACCTACTTCAGGCTGCTGCCTGCAGAAAACTGCAGGAGGAGATACAAGACCAGTCTCCCTGCACAAGTAGAGCAGGAGTGACTGGTCCTAATTACAGGAAACTGCTGCACAGAAGCAGTTTCATACAAATATAAACAATTATAATACCACGCTACAGGTTCTTGCAATGGTGTATATTCAAGCAGATTCTGACATACCACCTGTATCTCCCTGAAACAGTGACATAAACATAAACCAATATAATTGTAGTGCCACACTACAATACACCTCCCTCCTTCAAGAACGCTTTACGTGCTAAATACTCAAACAATGAAACAATAAAACTCCCACTGACAGTAACCCCTTATACTATGTCAATAGATTTCCATGTGTGTACTACAAAGCAACTCCCCCAGCCAAAAATGTTTCCAATATGATCACCATGTTACACTTCCCTCTCAATACCACAAATCAATATGACAAGTAAAACCGTCAAAACAATTGTACAAAATGGAAATGAAAATACTACATAATACGCTGCTACATTATAAAAAATAATGCGTGATGTCCTTAGCAAAGTGCTCTCAATAGTGCAGGCCTTTGAAAAGTGCCTTTGCACAATCCTCCAATTCGTGCTCCCCCCTGTGAAGCCCACTCACCAAAGTTCTAGGACCCCTTTATGAAAAAGTGGGTCACTAGCATTTTATCAACCAAAGCTGTTCTTTGGGGTATGTGTTCCACCAATGCTGGGATTCTTATCCACTTCTTGCTCCTCCACACACAAAATCACAGAATTTAGAAAGAACCAGACAGAGCAGTCTCCAATAGTGTTATACCATTTATTTAAAAATTCTCACAAAACATAAAAAACACACTTTCAATATAAAATGGCTTGTATACAAGTACAAGCAATAACGCTTGGTTGTGCGTCTGGGATGCTCCTCCGGGACTCTTCCTGCGGAAATGATGCAAAAGTCTCCTCCCAATGTGTTTTGTCAGCATGACGTCATCAGGAGAGGCCTTTCTTTTTACTGCCCATTAAAACCTGTAACGAATGCTATTTCACAACTAGTGTTAGTAGTACCTCTGCCTGGACTTTTCCTCCAACAAAAAACACCTATTCATGTCCCTCCATACATTTTTTTAATTATTTAATTGCTTTTTATCATAACCTTTCTCCTGAAATCTCTACACTAATATGTTAGCCTGTTCTTCACAATCCTTGTGAAAATGACAATTTCTACATATCCTAACCAGCTGTCCTTTTGGGACATTGCCAATCCATTTTAGCTGGTGGAAACGTGAAGTGGGTATATATCTATTTCTTTCAGTCTGTTTAAAAAAAAAAGGTCTTATAAATTTCCCCCCCTTCTTTAAAAATGACAATATCATAACAGTCAACACTGTTGCTATTCCGTCCTCTGGAGAAAGATATATCTGTTAATATTAATTTAATTGAAAAGTCCCTGTAATGTTTCTTCTGTATCTTCCCAAAGGATAACCATGTCATCAATGAATCTCTTGTAAAAGTTTAATTGGGGGGTCTCTTCTTACCATATCACCTCCTCCTCCTCCTCCTCCTCCCATTCACTCATAAATAAATTAGCAACACTGGGAGCACTATTTAGAGCACTTCTGAAAGGACAGCACTATTGAGAGCACTTTGGTAAGGACATCACGCATTATATCGTATTATGTAATATTTTCATTTCCATTCTGTATAATTGTTTTGACTGTTTCACTTGTCATATTGGAGGAGGAAGTGTAACACAGAGATCACACTGGAAACATTTTTGGAAGGGAGAGGCGTTTTGTAGTACACGTGTGGAAATACATTGACATGGGGTTTACACTCAATGGTAGTTTTGATGTTTCATTGTTTAAAGAACTTCTTATGTGCCAAGTACTCAGACACTTGAAGGAGGAGGGTGTATTGTAGCGCCACACTAAAATATATGATAATTTCATACTACTTTACTTAACAGACATGGAAGATATACACAAAGCACACCAAGATTCAAAGTATGAATACACAAGACTCTTATTTAGAAAATATTTGCTTATCCCTGAATACAGCATTAAAGTGGTAGTAAACTTGTCTTGTATACTTTTACCTACAGGCAAGGTTATAATAAAACTTACCTGTAGGTAAAATGAATATCTCCTAAATGGTGCATGTTTAGGAGATATTCATTTTACCTACAGGTAAGTTTTATTATAAGTTCTATTTGACAGCCGGCACATGCACTCTAAAGGAATGGCATATGCAAGCCGCTCCTTCAGAACACTGGGCTCTGCTAGTCAGACAGCAGGAGCTTGAGAACCCAAAAGGAAAACCTGGTGAAGATGGAAAACTCTGCAATGGTGTCAGCGTACCGCTGAAGGGCTTCGTTGTAAGACAAGTCCTTCATAATGTGCTACTATGTGATTTATACTAGCACATTATGACATTACCTTGCAGGGGATTTTTTATGTACGGTTTACTACCGCTTTAAAGGACAATTCACTTTTAGGAGCACACTACATGTTACACCCATATTTAAGCTGTAACACGAAACATGCTCCTATGCACCTGCTTCCTGCTGCCAGAGCTCCCCTCTCCCCCACACCCACATTTTGAAAATAGCATGGCTGTGTGGGGCTGTGAATGAATAAACTGAATAAACTACAAGTCCCATCTGTGACCACAGCATACAGACTTGTAATATCAATGAACGGATCAGCATGCTCAAACTGCCTACAGCTCAGGAACAGTCTGTCCATACTGACGTACGGCCAGAGATCTAGGCATTGTGTGCAGGAGCTTGCTCTTCAGGCTCAAGTAAAAATAAATAATAAAGGCACATTTTTTCCTGCAAAAATATGTAAATGTATTATTTGTTTCACAAAAGGTGAACTTAGCCTTTAAGGATTTTACAACTTTTACCATTTAATTTTGATATTCAGAAACACATCAGGGAAAAAAAAAATACTTTAACATAAAAAGCTAAACAAATTGTGAGATGAACAAAATGCTGTGAATGCTAAATGCTTTAATATGTAAAAGATACATGCAGAGTGTTACAATGAACTAGTGTCAGCAACTCATGCTTCACAAATCTACATTTTCATTGTTATTAATCATTTGCTTATAAAACTTACCAACTGGATTATATTTGACACACTTAGCCAGTTTGCTTGCTTGATACAATCACCTCCTTCAACCAATCCTTCATAGCCCTGCAAAATAAAATAAATACATAAATACATTAAGAGAAAGGACAAAATGTAAATATATTTGGTACACAGGCTTTTGCACTTGGTCCCTTTCACACTGCATGCATTTCTACATGCTTATGAAGCATTTTATTTATGTGTTGCATATGGAAAGTGAGGAAGGAACATTAAGAACAGAGATTTTCCATGGTGCAGATGCACTAAAATGCATTTTGCTCATTTAACATTCATTTCAAATTTTGTTCAACAAAAAGGTCTTTTTTTTTCCTTTTCTCTTTTTTAAAGGGTTTTAAAAACAAATTCTGAGCAGTACAAACAGACAAGTATGAGCTGACCCTATACACATTATGCATTGCCATCTAAAAATTCAAATTATCAACAAACTGATTCAGCTCAAAATATTTACATTGTATATATTACACACCTCATACTATTTAGAATCTGCAAACTGGATACAGCAAGCCCCCTACTTATGAACACGTTCTGTTCTGAGAGCACATTCATAAGTCAAATTGTTCATAAGTCTAACAAGTCAGCTCTTGTAGCCAATAACTGCGAGCACTGATCAGTGTGTTCTGGGGGGGGAGAAGAGTCCTCCTGTTAGAACACAAAGGCACAGCAGGGGACATTGCCACAGAGTTGGTACAGCAATCCGTCAGATTGTTCATTCAGCCCGCTGGGTTAAATGAAAAAAAAAAAAAAACTAAGTGTGTGTACATACAGTCAGGTCCATAAATATTGGGACATGGACACAATTCTAACATTTTTGGCTCTATACACCACCACAATGGATTTGAAATGAAACAAACAAGATGTGCTTTAACTGCAGACTGTCAGCTTTAATTTGAGGGTATTTACATCCAAATCAGGTGAACGGTGTAGGAATTACAACAGTTTGCATATGTGCCTCCCACTTGTTAAGGGACCAAACGTAATGGGACAATTGGCTTCTCAGCTGTTCCATAGCCAGGGGTGTGTTATTCCCTCATTATCCCAATTACAATGAGCAGATAAAAGGTCCAGAGTTCATTTCAAGTGTGCTATTTGCATTTGGAATCTGTTGCTGTCAACTCTCAAGATGAGATCCAAAGAGCTGTCACTATCAGTGAAGCAAGCCATCATTAGGCTGAAAAAACAAAACAAACCCATCAGAGAGATAGCAAAAACATTAGTCGTGGCCAAAACAACCATTTGGAACATTCTTAAAAAGAAGGAACGCACCGGTGAGCTCAGCAACACCAAAAGACCCGGAAGACCACGGAAAAAAAACGGTGGTGGATGACCGAAGAATTCTTTCCCTGGTGAAAAAAGCACCCTTCACAACAGTTGGCCAGATCAAGAACACTCTCCAGGAGGTAGGTGTATGTGTGTCAAAGTCAACAATCAAGAGAAGACTTCACCAGAGTGAGTACAGAGGGTTCACCACAAGATGTAAACCATTGGTGAGCCTCAAAAACAGGAAGGCCAGATTAGAGTTTGCCAAACGACATCTAAAAAAGCCTTCACAGTTCTGGAACAACATCCTATGGACAGATGAGACCAAGATCAACTTGTACCAGAGTGATGGGAAGAGAAGAGTATGGAGAAGGAAAGGAACTGCTCATGATCCTAAGCATACCACCTCATGAGTGAAGCATGGTGGTGGTAGTGTCATGGCGTGGGCATGTATGGCTGCCAATGGAACTGCTTCTCTTGTATTTATTGATGATGTGACTGCTGACAAAAGCAGCAGGATGAATTCTGAAGTGTTTCGGGCAATATTATCTGCTCATATTCAGCCAAATGCTTCAGAACTCATTGGACGCCGCTTCACAGTGCAGATGGACAATGACCCAAAGCATACTGCAAAAGCAACCAAAGAGTTTTTTTTTTAAGGGAAAGAAGTGGAATGTTATGCAATGGCCAAGTCGATCACCTGACCTGAATCCGATTGAGCATGCATTTCACTTGCTGAAGACAAAACTGAAGGGAAAATGCCCCAAGAACAAGCAGGAACTGAAGACAGTTGCAGTAGAGGCCTGGCAGAGCATCACCAGGGATGAAACCCAGCGGCTGGTGATGTCTATGCGTTCCAGACTTCAGGCTGTCATTGACTGCAAAGGATTTGCAACCAAGTATTAAAAAGTGAAAGTTTGATTTATGATTATTATTCTGTCCCATTACTTTTGGTCTCTTAACAAGTGGGAGGCACATATGCAAACTGTTGTAATTCCTACACCGTTAACCTGATTTGGATGTACACACCCTCAAATTAAAGCTGACAGTCTGCAGTTAAAGCACATCTTGTTTGTTTCATTTCAGATCCATTGTGGTGGTGTATAGAGCCAAAAATGTTAGAATTGTGTCGATGTCCCAATATTTATGGACCTGACTGTAGCTTTACATGATTGGACGTGCAAAACACATGTTCACATCCTTGAAAGTTCTCAACATGAACGTTCAGATGTAGGGGACTTAAGCCAACCCTAGATAATATGATATTCTTTCCAGCAACCATAGCTTGCAGAAAAGAAAAATCGTTCGATTCCCCCATCAACGCAGTCAGTCAACCCCGCAAGGAGAACACAGTGATTATTGCTAGCGGCTATAGCCATTGGCAATAATTGCATGAAAAATCCAACAGGCAGGTTGTACCCAAGTCGTACAAATATCGATTTGGGTACAATCAGCCTGCCCATAGATAGTTTGAACCTCAGCCAGTCCCTGCTGAACCGACTAAGATCCGAACCATCTATGGCCAGCTTTACTGTATTCCTAACTTGCTCTTAAATGCTAACTGCCACAAAGTGAGACCCTGTTGTCCTGAAGTCACCAATTTAAATTATTGACCTCCTTACGTTTATAAGATATTTGTAGCCCAGACTGGTGTTTTTTGGGATATTTTGAAAACTGAAATATAGCTGTATAAAGCCAAGCCTTTGCCTCTTCTTCTATGCAAAGCAAGTTATAGTCCTAATCTGGGATTAAAAAAAAAAACAAAAAACAAAATACCCAACTTTAAGGGGCTGGAAAAGAATTACCCAAACACTTCCTCTTTGCAAATTAATCTATGCAGCTCAAGAGTGCAAACAAAACATGATCCAAAACTTTGGTCTCCTTGCCTAGATACACAAAACCTCATAGCCGTAGACTCAGAGGCGTATAATGAAATCAGCGGGCCCCTGTGCAAGATCAAAAATGGGCCCTAGGCATCGAGAAAGATAAAAATGGTGGTGACGAGTGGGTGTGGTTTAAATTGTGCTAAATATTGGGCGTGGCATAAGGGTGTGTGGTTAGAGTGCTTAACAAATCTTGGGTGTGGAATGCTTACTTGACAGATGGCCTCTCAACCCACTGTAGACATTACTCTCACCCCCCCCCCCCCCCCCAAACCCTTCCTGCCATCTCAACCCCCTTCCTCAAGTCACTGCAAAGAAGTCTCTCCCAGCAGCTTGCAAAACTCCACCAACTTACCACCCTGCATCCTGCAGAATGGACTTGTGCTGCTGGAATCCATCCAGGTGGGATCTCCAATCTGGGGCAATGAGCTCCCAGCCTCACATTTACTCCCATCACAGCACTTGTCAGCCAGCTCCTCTTCCTCCCCTGTAAAATTCCTCGAAGTAACACTGGAGCACACTGAGTGAAGCGCTGGAGAGAGCGGAGAGGGAGGGTGGATAATCATACAGAAGCAGGATGGGCAGCCACCAGAAATTCTGGGGCCCCTTACACAGCTTTAGGCCTGGACAGCAACATTCTGCAGGGCCCACCCACTGACGCATCCCACCGAATTCGCCCACTGGCCAACCCAAGGAGCCAGTGGGGCCCCCCTCCCCTCGGGACCTATGAGCACCGCACACGTTGCACTCATGGATGATACATCACTGCCTAGACTCCTTTACAGTCACAGTTTCAGTTAGAATCACACATACTTACTGTATGTATAATGATGTATGTTTAAGAGAGAGTTGACAATGAAATAAAACTATTCATTGGATTTGTTTATTTTCCCAATATCTTACAAGGTAATAAACATAAAAAGTATGATGTGCAGAACATCCAAATATTTGCAGTGTACCTGTTTGCTTATTTTTCCTATATTGTTCTTTTATTATGGTACATAGCAAAATACTACATTATGGCCAGTAAATGGAGATGAGACTCACAGAAAAAATACATACAGCTTTGTAGCAAGAAATACAATGAAACAGTTCTAGAGAATGCTAAAGGGAATTGGCAAACAAGCGTAACCATTGGTCCTTTTCACACAACTGTTCCCATGTAAACAGACCCATGTCCTGTTACATCTGCTGGCCTATTCACCTAACAGGCGCCTGTGGTAGAAAAAGACTGAATGGACGTAAATGTCCACAAAAGTGACATCCAGACCATATGGCTCAGATTCAGCAGAGGATCTGTTCACCGATCCCCTGCAAATAGGAATGAGGATGCCCATGTGAGCAGGCCCGAACTGGCTCATTCACTCTAAAATTGTTACAATGTATCTCGTTACAAAGATGTGTATTACCTATGCTCCTCAGCTCCATCTACAAAACAGAAAGCTATTTTTTCCTACTGCCTATAATAAAAGAACACTTTGCTAGATGCTATTGTTTTATTTTAAAAAAATTGACGCCTTTGTGTAATGTGTAAAAAACAGACATCATACAAATTCTCTAATACCATAACAGCAAACCATAAAAGAAGCTACATATAAGCAGGTGCAAATTAAGTTTCAAATTATTACAGGTACATGCACAGTGATATATCTTTCCTGTTTTTTTGTGTCAATAACTAACTTTTCAGATTCAATGAAATGTTCAGCTGGGTTTAACACAAAAGAATGAACTTTGCTTGGTTTAAGTGCTGCCTAATAAGATAGCCTGCATGTTTGCACTTCCCATATCCTTTCAAAATGCTCTTTGGTCTGAAATGTATTTCTTTGGTTTGGCCATGTCTTTAAGATAGAGTGTGTTTAAAAAGCCAAGACAAAAAAGCCAGGTACACTATATTGCCAAACGTAT